TACTTGAAGATACATCATTTCATAGAATCCTACAGTGTGGAAGCAGGCCATTTGGCCCATTGAGTCCACACCAACCCTCCAAAGAGCATCCCACACAGATTCACCCCGCTATCCTATCCCTGCAAATCCTATGGACAATCCATCTAATCTGCATATCTTTGGACTGAGGGAAGAAACCAGGGCACCCAGAGGAAGCTCACACAGACACAAGGAGAATGTGCAATCTCCACCCAGACAGTTGCCCAAGGGAGGGATTAAACCTGGGTCCCTGATGCTATGAGGCAGCAGTGCTGACCACTGAGCCACTGTGTCACCCTGCAGAGCAATGGTTAAGCAAAGTTCATCACCAGTAGTCACAGAAATACTACAAGCCAATATTAGGGTAACTAAAACTCTATTTAAAACGAGGATAATTCAAAAGAAGTACTCTGCATATTTTTGTTAATTAGGGTTCAGGAAGCCAGTCCAGAATTAAGTAAGACAGTTCACACTGAAGCAGAGGCTGAAGGAATCCTGGTGTGATACATGGAGTTCTGATGATGAAATGGAAACATTCTCATAGACTTGCGGATGAAGAGTGGACTGTTGTTCATCAAATAATCGTACAACCCAGATATTGTACTAAGATGTTACGAGTAGCTCATGAAATTCCTATGCAGGACAGATAGGAATATAGAAAATGCAGGCATCAATAAATATGACCAAGACTTCATAAAGATGCAGTGTAATTCTGTAAGACATGTTATACTTGCCACGTGGTAGGAAAACTTTAATACAGCAAACATTTTTTATTACCTGGCACCTTTGGGACCAGGAGTGTGCTGGTTGATCAAATGTTTCGGATAATCAAGTGGTATACATAACCAGAGTAAACACTGGGCTAATTGAAGCTTTGAGGCATCAACATCCCTCAAAAGCCTATGTAAAAACATCAACACACCTCCTGAAATCAATGTAAAAACACACAATAGGTAATAGAAATGTAATGAAGGTAGTATACGCAGCAGCATCATACTTTATTTACAGCATAAATACTCAGACATCACAGATCGCTACATTATTTCTGGTGGTTTATCAAGAATACCGGTTGATAAGGTTAATGCCGGTTAAAATAAGGTTTGCTGTATATAATTAAACCAGCACATTTAATATCCACACCAGTTTTTGAAAAATTATTTAGTCAAGTGTTTGTAGATTGTGGAGGGTCATTACCAAAAACAAAAATAGGTCATCACTATATAATTAAAATTATGGATAAGACAACCCGATTCCCAGAAGCTATTCCTCTAAGGAATACAACTAGTGTAGTGGTGGAACAATTAACTCATTCTTTTATCCATTATGGATACAGTTTGATCAGGTCTCTAATTTAATGTTTAAACTTTTCCAGGAAGTCATTACCAGTTTGGGCAAAAAAAAAATAGGTCAACTGCATATTGTCTTATGGGGAGTTTTGCACAGGTTTCAGAGAGTTACAGTTAAACTCTTAAAACCACGTTTAAGGTTTACTGTCATGAATACCAACAGGATTGGGATAAAGCATTAGATTTCCTAACTTCAAGATTTTTGTCTATTTGTTATCAGAGATTCCCAAAATAAATCTATGGGATTTAGTCCATTTGATTTGATTGATGATCATAAGAATAGAGGCCCAATAAAATTGATGAGGGAGAAATTCTTGAAACAAGCATATGAATTCTCAATGTTAGATCACTTGTCCATGCCTCTAGAAAGCCTCACAGGAGCATGTTTGGTGGCACAAAAGTTTCAAAAGCGAAAGTGAAAAAATGGGCAGCAAAACAGCTAGTACTGAACAACTACAGCATTTCAAGTGGAAAATGAAGTATTGGTATTGTCTTTACATGGTGAATCTCTGAAAGGAAAATACAGTGCCTTATATAATGCAGTTAAGAGGGTTAGTAAAGTGACTTATTTGGTAAATACTCTTGATTGGAGGAAGAGGAATCAGTTATATGACATAAACATGTAGAAAAGAGGATAAGGAGGAACAAATGTGTCCGGTGGTAAGAGTAGCGAAAGATGACAGAAACAATAAGAGTGTGGTGGGAAGAGAAGTAGATAGGTCTCAAATCGAAACCTCCTCCAATTTGACTAGTCAACACAGAAATACTGGGACAGTTTGATACAATGTTCTCATACTTAGAGAAAGTACATATTTATTTGGAGAGTTTTGTGAGACTACTTAGGAAGCATAAGGTAATTTGTAGAGATACACCTGTAGAGATATATTAGCTAGGCATGACGTGGATGACGGAAAGTCAAGGCTGATAAAGCATATTTACTAGCTGAGCCCAGAGAAACAAACTCAGGTGAAAACAAAGATTTGATATGTGCTGGAAAACCACTTGACTGAACCTAGTCAAATTAGCTCAAGTTCACCGGTAGTGTTAGCTCCTAAACCAGATGGATCAACCAAGTCCTGAAGAGAATATAAAGTGGTAAATGCAGTCACAAAACTCGATTCATACTGTATTCCAGAATTGGAAGCCTACATTGATATGTCTTGCAGTCTTCATCGCTTTTTAAGATTGATCTATTGAAGGGGTACTGGCAAGTGTATTGATATCAAAGGCCAAAAAATATCTGCCTTTGTGGCACCAAAATTGGTTACATAAATGAAAAGTGATGCCACTGCATTAAAGAATGCCCCAGCTATGAATGAAATTGCAGCTGACATTCATAACTGTATTTTATTTAGGTGATGTTCTGGTACATCGTTACAATGGGAAGAATATGTGAGATTCGTAGAAGACCTGCTTAAGCAATTACAGTTGGTTGGCTTAGTAATAAATTTTGACAAAACTGAATTTGTGAAAGCAAAAGTAACTTACGTAGTGCATATTGTAGACAATACAAGTACAATAACGCCTTGAATAGAATTATCTGTTCCTAAAACTGCAATAAAGTTAGTTTTGCAATCATGACATCATACAAGTTTTAGAAATGTGTGAGTTTTACCAGAAATTTGTATGCAATGTCAGTACAATTTGTTAAAGAAACATGCAAAAGTCAGCAGAATGCCAGTTCTCTTTGGCAGTCCTAATAAAAGGACCAATGTTGGCCAGCCCTGATTTTTTCAGACCTTTAAAAATGGCAATTGATGCGAATGGCCTGGGGGTAGGTGCAGTTTTGTTACAGGATGATTGGTGGGAATTGAGAAGCCAATGGGGTACTTCTCTAAGAAACTAAACTAGTATCAGAAGAAGTACTCAACCATAAGAGACTTTTGGATTGTTGTTGGCTCTCCAATACTTTAAAATCAATGTGCAACATAATAATAAGGAAACACTAAATTGATCATAACCCATAACCCACTGAGAATTAATTGAAAAGGTTAGGACTTGAAATGCAAGAATAGTTGGAGTTTTTTGCTTCAACCATTTAATATAACAATTATTCATATTGCTGAAACAGTCATTGTAACTGTGAACATATGGTCTTGAGTCTAAAATACTGGAATAAGTTAAAGGCTTATGGAATGCTAAGATTTTAGAAGCAGGTAAAAGGATAAATGATTGTAAGTCTTATGTGTTATTGTTTGCGTATCATATATTTTATAATTTTCATCTTATAAGGGTAGACATATGTGAAGGCTATACCTTTCAATTTTTCTGTGTTTTTAATTGTGGACTGAAGTGGCAAGAGGACTATTTTTTTTAAATGGATTATGGAAGGAATGAATGACATTTTGAAAGCAGGTTATTGACACTCTTAGTGCTATTTACACTGCTGTTTGTTCAAGCACTGGGAGCAGTTACTACAGATGAACTGGAGCCTGAGGCTGTGTACGAAGACAGATTTGGTCAGCAACAACTGGCTGATTGGTCTGTAATATGCCAACTAGTGTTGATAATAAGGCCTACCCACCAACAACGCTGCAGTTGTCTGCCACATGGATGAACAGTTTGGCTGTGAAAAAGATAACCAGATGCCTCAGTACCTACAGAAAGATAGGAGTTGGTATTTTTGTCTCTGCAGTGAAAACCACAAAACCTGAAGAAAGCTAATTTATTTTCCCTCATCAGTTGCTGTTAGCTGTTGCTTTTAACCAAAAAATTGGCATGGTGCCTCAGTGGTTAGCACTACTGCCTCACAACGCCAGGAAGCTGGTTTTGATTACATCCTCGGGTGACTATCTATGTGGAGTCTGCACATTGTCCCCATGTCTGCATGAGTTTCCTCCGAGTGCTGTAATTTCCTCCCACAGTCTAAAGATGTGCAGGTTAGGTGGATTGGCCATGCTAAATTGCCCATGGGATCTGCAGGAATGGGGTGGATCCGTGTGGGATGCTCTTGGGAGTGTAGTTGTGGACTCGATGGGCTGAATGGCCAGCTTCTACACTGTAAGGATTCTATTATAAGAATATACAAGTTACGAAGCAGCTACTCTGGGCCGCCTCTTCTAATTACTCACTGTCCCACTACCTTCATTACCCATGGCCCCACTCCCCTATTTCTCTCAATACCCACTCACTCATATGCCTCATTACACCCCCACTGCCATATCACCCCCTCTACTTCCCACATTACCCCTGCCCCAATTCTCTTTATTGTCCGCTCCCCTATTCCTCCCATTATTATACACTGCACCACATGCACTCTGTGGTTGTCATTCCTAACTTTACCACAAATCTGCCTGAACTCCGCTAAATGGATCATAACCGTTTAAGCACGGAACATTTCCTCCTCCTTGGCACCTCTGCTGCTGACTCGCACCAGCTGGTCATAGGTGCACGTTGGCACACTCAGATAGACATCTCAGATCCTCACTCAAACTCTCACTGACTAACAGCTCCCCAGTCCCGCCTCCCATAGGCTGGCTGACACGAACACACGCACAAACACACACAACACACACGCACGAATCAGTCATAACAAGGTGTAGAGCTGGATAACACAGCAGGCCAAGCAGCATTCGAAGAGCAGGAAGGCTGACGTTTCGGACCTAGACCCTTCAAGGCTTTCCTGCTCCTCTGATGCTGCTTGGCCTGCTGTGTTCATCCAGCTCTACACCTTGTTATCTCAGATTCTCCAGCATCGGCAGTTCCTACTATCTCCGCACGAATCAGTCGCTCGGTTGATGAGAGCCTGCTCCCCATGGAACTGCCCCTTTAAGATGTGAAAGTGGACGTCAGATAAATAGGGAGGATCCGGGTGGCAGAATCATCTTCTCGTTCATCCCGAGTTTTATCTCTCGGGATTCAGCATCGGGGATGGGGGAGAGCAGCACGGACGGGCGATCGGGGAAGGTAAGAGACAGTGAGAGACTGTACCATCGGTACCGGGCCCGGGACACCAGTGCGTTTATTGTAACCTGCTCCTGAGAACATGCGGGACCTGGCTCATTCCTCAGGGGAACCCTAGGAACTGAGCTGTACTCAGTCTTATCAGGAAGTTCTCCCCGATTCTTACACACACACACACCTCTTTCGGCTCACAGCCTTCCACCTGTTGTGAAATAACCCGGAATTTCGATAGTGCCTTTCACGTCCCAAATCACCAAGCTAATCGAGTATTTTCTTCAAGGGCTGGAACGTAATTGTTGGAACGAAAGAAACTTGGCAGCAAGTTTGTGCACAGCAAGCTCCCACAAACAGAAGCGTGATTGACTAAGGACAGAATGAATCAGAAACAGAAATTGCTGCAAAAGCTCCCGCGAAATCAGAGTTAACGTCTCGAGTCCAGTGACTCCACACATGCTGCCAGACCGGCTGAGCTTTTCCAGCAATTTCTGATTTACAGCATCCACAGTTCTTTCGGTTTTTATTCAGGATAGAATGCGGCTGAGATGACTTTAGTTCCACATCAGAAATCAAACGGGGCCCCATGTCCAAACCCAAAAAGACTCTTCTACAGTGCAACACATCCTCAGTACTGACCCTCCGACAGTGCAGTGCTCCCTCAGTACTGACCCTCCGACAGTGCAGCTTTCCTTCAGCACTGACCATCCGGCGGTTCTCCCTCAGTACTATCCGTCTTACAGTGCAGCGCTCCCTCAATACCGACTTTCGTACAGATCAGTTCTCTATCAGTGGTAACACTGTGACAGTGCAGTGCTCGCTCAGTACTGACTCTTCAACAGTGCAACATTCCCTGAATATGATACTTGTGTCCACTTTGTTATGTGTTCAAATCCCTGGAATGGGATTGCAACAAGACATTCTGATTCGGAGCCAAGGGGGATTGAAAGTGTTGTCCACAAGAGCAGGAAATGCAGAAAAATATGCCAGTTAAAACAACAAAAACTCTCGAGTGGGGAGTATTTACAAGAAAGAGGATTGCATTAATCTAACTGAATTTCAATAATTATAGATTCCCAGTCCAGAATGTTGCCAGTTACGTTCAGTCAAACGATTTTTGCTCATTTTGATGATTATCAAGGGAGATTTGGAATGATTTCTATTCGGCTGTATAATTTTCAGTTGTTGTTCTTGGGGATCACCTATAAATATCGATGCAGGTAACTGGGATCAGCAGTAAATATTAACCTATTCCTGGCAGTGCAAGAAACTCAGAAACACGGTCAACTCGGTTGTATGTTAAAAAAAAATCAAACAAACACGATCACTGAGAGTGTCAGTATTTATAAGGGGTGTGTGTCAGTATTTATAAATTTCTGACATTTGTGTCCGTGGTTCAGGGGGCGTGTGACAGTACTTTTAGGGGTGTCCGGGCCGTATGTCAATATTTTCAAGGGATCTTTGGGGAATGTATCAGTATTTACAGAGAATCGCAGAGCTAAGGTAATTTTTTTACAGGGGCTACCTGGGGAATGTGTCAGTATTTGCCAGGAGCCTCCGGGGAATAAATCAGCATTTACTGGGGATCCTGGGGCTAGTGTCAACATTTACAGGGGATCTCTAGCCTCTTTGTAGGTTACGTGGAACAATCCCTCTTCCGTACCTACACCGGCCCTAAACCCCACCTCTTCCTCCGTTACATTGATGACTGTATGGGCACCGCCTCGTGCTCCCACGAGGAGCTTGAACAGTTCATCCACTTCACCAACACCTTCCACCCCAACCTTAAGTTTACCTGGACCATCTCTAACACCTCTCTCCCCTTCCTGGACCTCTCTGTCTCCATATCGGGCAACCACCTAGAAACCGATATTCATTTCAAGCCCACCGACTCCCACAGCTACCTAGAATACTCCTCCTCCCACCCACCTTCCTGCAAAAATGCCATCCCCTATTCCCAATTCCTTCGCCTCCGCCGCATCTGCTCCCAGGATGAGGCATTCCACTCCCGTACATCCCAGTTGTCCTCGTTTTTCAAGGACCGTAACTTCCCCTCCTCGGTGGTCGAGAACGCCCTCAACCGTGTCTCCCACATCTCCCGCACCTCATCCCTCACACCCCGTCCACGCAATAAGAACCAAAAAAGAATCCCCCTCGTCCTCACGTACCACCCCACCAACCTCCGGATCCAACGCATCATCCTCCGACATTTTCGCCATCTGCAATCCGACCCCACCACCAAAGACATCTTTCCCTCCCCACCCTTATCTGCTTTCCGGAGGGACAACTCTCTCCGTGACTCCCTTGTCCGCTCCACACTCCCCTCCAGCTCCACCACACCCGGCACTTTTCCCTGCAACCGCAGGAAGTGCTACACCTGCCCCCATACCTCCTCCCTCACCCCCATCCCAGGCCCCAGAAGACTTTCCACATCAAGCAGATGTTCACCTGCACATCTGCCAATGTGGTATACTGCATCCGCTGTACCCGGTGTGGCTCCCTCTACATCGGGGAAACCAAGCGGAGGATCGGGGACCGCTTTGCAGAACACCTACGCTCGGTTCGCAATAAACAACTGCACCTCCCAGTCGCGAACCATTTCAACTCCCCCTCCCATTCCTCAGACAACATGTCCATCCTGGGCCTCCTGCAGTGCCACAACGATGCCACCCGAAGGTTGCAGGAACAGCAACTCATATTCCGCTTGGGAACCCTGCAGCCCAATGGTATCAATGTGGATTTCACAAGTTTCAAAATCTCCCCTCCCGCATCCTAAAACCAGTCCAGCTCGTCCCTGCCTCCCAAACCTGTTATTCCTCCCACCTATCCCCTCCTCCCACCTCAAGCCGCACCTCCATCTCCTACCGACCAACCTCATCCCGCCCCCTTGAACTGTCCGTCCTCCCTGGACTGACCTATCCCCTTCCTAACTCCCTACCTACACTCACCTTTACTGGCTCCATCCCCGCCTCTTCGACCTGTTTGTTTCCTCTCCACCTATCCTCTCCTCTATCCCTCTTCTATCCGCCTCCCACTCTCTCCCTATTTATTTCAGAACTCCCTTCCCCTCCCCCTTTTCTGATGAAGGGTCTAGGCCCGAAACGTCAACCTCTCTGCTCCTATGATGCTGCTTGGCCTGCTGTGTTCATCCAGCCCTGCACCTTGCTGTCTAGCATATGTGTCAGTATTTATTGACAGTACAAAGGCGTCATTGGATATCTAAATTGTTTATTGGCATTTTCTAATTCCTTTGTGAGTTGTCCGCAACCAGCTGACCAAGTTTGAAAGTTTACTTTTCACAAATCCATAGAATCTCTTACAGTGTGGAAACAGGCTCTTCAGCCCAACAAGTCCATAGCGACCCTCAGACCCATTCCCCATAACCCATAACCCCACATCATCTACACATCCCTGAACACTACGGGGCAATTTAGCATGGCCAATCCACCTAGCCTGCAGATCTTTGGACTGTGGGAGGAAACCGGAGCACCCGGAAGAAACCCACACAGACACAGGGAGAACGTGCAAACTCCACACAGACAGTCGCTCGTGGTTGGGGGGGAAGAATTGAACCCGAGCCTCTGGCGCTGTGAAGCAGGAGTGCTAACCAGTGAGCCACTGAGCCGCCTTAAATGTTCCTCTGATTTTCTGTTTCTCCCATACCAAAAGTGCTGACAATGTCCACCATGTCCACTCCTTGACCATAGGGTAAAGGTATCAGAAGTATTGCCTGTCCCGGATCTTTACCTGGATGGATCGTATTGGTGGGCAGTGGGGCTAGGAAATGTTAATGTCTACTGCAGAGGTCAGTGGGCAGTCTTTGGAGGGTAGGGAGGGATTTGTGGGTAGGTGGGGAAGTTCACCTTTCTCCCTTGGCCCTGTGGTGATGACGTGTCACCATTCAGCCTGAGAAATATAACTTTAACATCGTGAACGTGGGATCAGTGAATACAGCACAGTTAACATTGAGAGACATTGTTGGTGACATTGCACGTGTTCCATTGCCCGGCTGATCGCATTGTGCCTTTTAAATGTTAAAATGACTGCAAGGTAGATTCTGTCAATCGACAAAAGCAAGAAGGAAACAGTTGATTTGATCCATACCTGGAATATTTCAGTTTGTTTGATCTGTAGCAGCCAAGGCTGGTGAAACTACAAAATCGTGAGTCAGCAAGTATTTGGAAGACAACTTGAAGCTTCCTTCCCTTTAGTCCATACCTTCCATTCCATTCCTACCTTTAGTCCTCCCCTTGTTTCTAATTCCCTCCCTTCAGTGTTTCCTTCTCTCCAATTCTCTCCCTTCAGTCTTCCCCTCCCATCCCTTCCCTCATTCCTTCTATCTGCTCCCAGTTCATCGCCTCATTCTTCAGCTTTGCTTTTAATCCTTCCCCTCATACACCCATCCTCTCCAGTTCCCACCCCTCAGTTCTTCCCCTTACCTGCCAAACTCTCCACCCAGTCCTTCCCTCCCATTCCTTCCTTCTTTTCCTTCTCTCTGTTCTCAGTCCCTCCCCTCTTCCCTTAGCTTTGCTTCCATTCTGTCTCCCCGCCTCCTCATTCTCTCCCTCTCCTCCCGCCCTACTGCTCATTTCTTCACCTCTACCCACTCTCTTTCCTCATTCCTCATCTTCCCTCCCATTCCTTTCCCTCATTCCTCACCTCCTGTTCCATTGTCTCCTTTGCCTACCCTACCGTCCTGTAAAAGTGCTTTTGGTAATCATGCTGTTGATGACTGATTCTCAGCGCTAGTCAGGCAGCATTTATTGCCCATCCCTAATTACCCAGAGGGCAGTTAAGAGTCAAACACATTGCTGCAGGTCTGCAGTCACATCTGGGCTAGACCAGGTATGGACAGCAATTTCCTTCCCTAAAGGACATTAGTGAACCAGATGGGTTTTTCCTGACAATCGACAATGGATTCATGGTCATCATTAGACTCATTAATTCCAGATATTTATTGAATTTAAATTGCACCATCTGCCATGGCAGGATTCAAATCTGGGTCAGCAGAACATTATCTGGGTCTCTGGGTTGTCTCTAACTTGTGGTTTTTCACCATCTTCTTTCAGGAACTGACAGGATTGCTATTTCTGTCTGTCATTGCAGCAGTGCTTGGCTCACTACAATTTGGTTATGGACTCGGCGTTATCAATGCACCCCAGGCGGTAAGATTTCTCATCAATGTAATTCGTGGATGCCTCACCCTTGTCCTGTTGTCCTATGAAACCAAAATTTTGCATTTCTGTGGCACCCTTCAGGACCTCAGAATGTCCAAGCGCTTTGCAACCAATGAAGTGTATTGACTTTGAAGTGCAGTGAATGTGGTGGCCATTTCATGTTCCCACAAATGGCAATGCGTTAATGACCAGATCATCTATTTTTCATAGATTCACTACAGTGTGGAAACAGGCCCTTCAGCCCAACAAGTCCATACCAACCCTTGGAGCATCCCACTATAGCCCCACTAAGCTACACATCCCTGAACACTATGGGCAATTTAGCATGGCCAATTCGCCTAACCTGCACATTTTTGGACTGTGGGAGGAATCCGGGGCACCTGGAGGAAACCCACGCAGACACGGGGAGAATGTGCAAACTCAACACAGAAAGTTGCCTGAGGGTGGACTTTAAATTGATGTTTGTTGAAGGATAAATATTGGCCAGGACACCAACAACAATTTCCATTTATTTGCACCTTTAATTTGATAAAACATCTTAAAATTATTCACTGGAGCTTTATCAAACTAAATTTTCAACCAAACCACCTACTAGGACAGATGATCAAACATTTGGTCACAGCGGTAGGTTTTAAAGATTGTGTTAAAACAGGAGGTAGTGAGGTTGGATGGTGAGTACGGAGGAAATTCTTTTTTTTTGGTTTATTCATTCACAGGATGAGGGCATTGCTAGCCAGGCAATATTTATTGCCCATCCCTAATTACCCAAAGGGCAGGTAAGAGTCAAACACATTGCTGTGGGTTTGGAGTCACATCTGGGCCAGACCAGGTATGGATAGCTATTTCGTTCCCTAAAGGATATTAGTGAACCAGATGGGTTTTTCCTGACAATCGACAATGAACTCATGGTCATCATTAGACTCATTAATTCCAGATATTTATTGAATTCAAATTGCACCATCTGCCATGGCGGGATTCAAATCTGGGTCAGCAGAACATTATCAGGGTCTCTGGGCTAACAGTCCAGTGATAATACTACTAGGCCATCACCTCACTCTTATTCCAGAGCTCAGGATTTTGGTGACTGAAGGCACAGCTGCCAATGGGAAAAGAGTTAAAAGTTAGAGATAAGCAAGAGGCCAGAATTGGAAAAGATCTCAGAGGAATGTGGGCTGGAGGAGATGGCAAAGGTAGAGAGGTTTGTGACCAAGGATGATTTGAAAATGAGTTTGAAAAGTTTAAAATTGGGCTGGTGTCCCTTGTTCTTCTTTGAGCAATGCTGTGTGATCATTTCTGGTCACCAAGAGGGAAGATGGGGTCCTCAGGCTAATAACTCAGCCAAAAGACTGCCCTATTTACAATGCAGCATTCCTTCAATACCACATCAGATTTCGTCCTCAAGGTACAGACTCACTGAGCTACAGCTTTATTTATGAGAGATATGGGAGCATTTTTGTTACATTCATGAGGTTCCCTTATCAGAGTGAAATGGAGACTGTGACCTTTGGCCATTTCCCTATATCACTTGGGGATGAAGAAAGGAATGGCAATCCCATTTGTTGTTTAGATACTGTGAAAGATGTTGTTCAAGTTGTCTTGTTACTAATTTACTGGAAACCAGCCCACATTTTCCTGTCTTCTTATAAGTTAATTAAACATAATTGATCGTCATCAAGGCTAACACATGGACACACGTAAGAACCAAACATAGGAACAGGAGTAAGTCATTCAGCCTTTCAAACCTGCTCCATCATTCAATAAGGTCATGGCTGATCCCGTTGTGATCTCGCTGCACTTTCTTGTCCACGTTCAGTAGCCATGACTCACTTGTCTATCAAAAACTATTTAACTCAGCCTTGAGTAAATTTAAAGACCCAGTCTCCACTATCCTCTAGGGAAGGGAATTCACACTCCATTGACCCTCTGAGAAAAGTCATTTCTCCTCATCTCAGTATTAAAAGGGGGCCCTCATATCCTTAAATATTGTTGCCTCGTTTAAGTCTCCCAACCAAGAGTTTTAAACCACCTGTTCTCTGAGGTGAGTTTAAAACATTTAACAGCACAATTTTTCAGAGGACTAGACAGATTCTCTCTGATGCTCTGGCCAAAAGTTATCCTTCCAGCAATAACACCTAAACAGTTTACCTGATCGCTATCTAATTGCTGTTTCTGGGAAATTGTTACATACAAATTGGGTGCCATATTTCCTGTATTATCACAGAGATTACATTTCCAAAAAAAGGTACTTGATTGTCTGTAGAATGCTTTCGTTATGTTGCCTGATTTTTTGAAAAACCACATTGAACTGGACTTTAGCAAGGCCTTTGACAAGATCCCTTTAGGAAGACTGATAAGAAGGTGAAGTCACAGGGGATCCGTGGTGAGGTGGTAAGATGGATACAGGTGGTGATGGCCTTGTGGTATTACCATTAGATTGTTAATCCAGAGATGTAGGAAATGTTCTGTGCGCCTGGGTTCAAATCCTGCAACAGTGAAGTTTGAAACCAGCAAAAATCTGGAATTAAGACTGTAATGATGACCATGAATCCATTGTCAATTGTCAGAAGAAGCCATCTGGTTCATGAATGTGCTTTAGGGAGGGAAGCTCACATCCTTATCTGGTCTGGCTTACATGTGACTCCAGACACTGTGGTTGACTCTTAACTGCCTTCTGGGCAATTAGGGATGGGTAATAAATGCTGGCTTGGCCAGCAGCATCCTCATCTGTGAATGAATAAAAGAAGAAGACAGAAAGTAGTGGTGGAAAGGTGTTTTTCTGACTGGAGATCTGTGACCAGTAGTGTTCTGCAGGGATCAGTGCTGGGATGCCAGATGTTTGTAATATATACAAATTATTTGGAGGAGAATGTAGGTGGTCGGATTAGCAAGCTTGCAGAAGACACAAAGATTGGAGGAGCTGCGGTTAGTGAGCAGGATTGTCAGAGGATACAGCAGCACACAGAGAGGCCAGAAGCCTGGATGGAGAAATGACAGATGGAATTTAATCTGGACAAATGCAAGGTGATGGAATTGGGAAAGTCTAATATAGGAGGGAAGTATACAGTAAATGAATGGCAGAACCCTTAGAAGTATTAACATACAGATGGATCTAAGTGTACAGGTTCACAGTTGCCTGAAAGTGGCAATACAAGTAGATAAGGTGGTCAAATGGTGTATGGCATGCTTGCCTTCACCAGTTGGAGCATATAGTATAAATATTGGTAAGTCATGTTGCAGTTGTATAGAACTTTACTTAGGCCACATTTGGAATATTGCAGATAACAAGGTGTAGAGCTGGATGAACACCGCAGGCCAAGCAGCATCAGAGGAGCAGGAAAGCTGATGTTTCGGGTGGAGACCCTTCTACAGAAATTGCAAACAGTTCTGGTTGCCACACTTCTGAATGGATGTGGAGGCTTTGTAGAAAGTACAGAAAAACATTACCAGGATGTTGCCTGGTTCGGAAGGTATTAGCTATGAGGAGAGATTGGACAAACTTGGTTATTTTCACTTGAAATTCGGAAGCTGGTAGAAGTTTACAAAATTTTGAGAGGCATGGTTAAAATGGATGGTGAGAATCTTTTACCCAGGATAGAAATGTCAATTACCGGGGGACATAGATTGAATGTAAAAGGGGGAATTAAAAGTTTAAAGGAGATGTGAGAGGCAAGTTTTTTTTACATGGAGTGTGGTAAGTGCCTGGGATTTGCTGCCAGTGTAGGTGATAAAAGTAGATGCAATCGCAAAATTTAAGAGTTTTGTCAGATACATGAGTAGGCAGGGAATAGTGAGATACACACTGCATGGAGGCAAAAATCTTTTACTTTAGGAAGGTGTCATGTACTGGCGAAGGTGGGCCAAAAGGCCTGTTCCTATGCTGTACTGTTCTTTGTTCTTTGATTTCAGCTGGCCATAAAAAAGGGGAAAATGTATCTTTTAAAGCAAAAGATCATCCAAGAGATGAATGTGGTGGACTTATCACTGTGTGAGTCATAATGGTAGTCTGTCTCATTCAACTCACTCCGATTCTGGCTTTACTCCCTTCCCTCTCCAACGCTGTTCAGCTCTTCCTGGCTCCAGATCACTTGGCCTCATGATCCCAAATGATAATTCTCTTGTTGAATCTCCCAGTTTCCAGCTTCCCCCTTTGAGTCTCTCATTTTCTCATTTACCCTCTCAGGCATTTGTTTCCACACATCCCTGTGTTAACCTCCTGATCTCTTACACCCCTTTCTGACATTCTTGAATTCACTCTATATCCTTGAAAACACCAAATCCTGTTGAAAAGACCAATACTCATATGTTGAATTATGCAAATGACTTTCAGGAATTTATAAGTTTTATTGTACGACAGTTTCCACCTTTTCCTTCTTGACCCTTTCCCTGTCTGGAAACCAAGTCTCCATCGGGAAAGAACCCAGCTTTTTTTTATTGTTATTGACAAAGGGGGTCACTGGAGGATGAGAGAGTAAAACAGAAAGCAATGGTGCTCCAAGCAAAAACCAAGGGAGTACCAGCAAAGGAGTACCTTGACATAAAACAATGATAGCTGTGAACAAAGAATGCAGCTCTGTATTTTTTTAGATACTTTTAATCAATCTGATCTAACATATCTCTGGATCGGGTGGTAGGGGTGGTAGAGGAGGTAGGGATGCTAACAATGCACTACAGGCAGCTCTTTTTTTAAGTTTATTTTAAAAACCGCACCAGTAAATCACCCATTAAAGTAACTAACTGAATAACTAATACTGCCGACCAGGTGGAATCTAACAATAACAATAAACAAAAAATGGAGGAAGACAAGGGAGGGAATTAAATGAAAATAATATTGGAGGGGGAGAAAATGCACTCCAACCCCATGTTGCCATGAACCCAGCTCTTAACACAGTCCATAAAGCATTACTTGTTCTCAAGTTCTGAGTTCTGAGGAAGGGCCACCGGACCCGAAACATTAACTCTGTTTTCTCCTTCACAGATGCTGCCAGACC